AATAAATATATATATATATATATATATATATATATATATATATATATAAAGATAATCAAATATTATATTTTAAATTAATTTTTTAAAGTAAATAGATTTTATATATATTTATAAGAAATAAAATAATATTTTTAAAACAAACATTTTTTTATTTTATTAAACATTCTAATTATTTATACTCAATTATTAATTTAAAATAGTTAATAATTAGTATTTATGATAATTCAAAATATTCTTAACATTTTAAGTAAATGATAATTTTAAATTAAGGTAGGCATTTTTTAAAAAAAAAATATGATATACAATATTTTTTTTAGACTTAAAATTAATTTTTAATTAATTATTAAAGTTCTATTAATTAAAAAAATTAAAATTAATAAAAAAACTTAATTTTAAAGCAAACCAGTGGCTGAGCGACATTTGGTAGGATAGGATTGGCTCCGCAGATCATGGCCAATCATTGGCAAGCGGCGCAATCATTGTGCCGCCCGCCAATGATTGGCGCATCATAACTGCAGAACGCGATTTAATTTAACCACGTAGGCACAATGCCGGAGCCGCTCAATCCTCCGCCATCTGAAACGAACGATCAGATGTGGTCAGACGGAAAGACAGAACTCGAGAAATGACCACACGGTCGGATGGAACTGCGAAAGAGCGTGATCTAAGCCGTTGATTGAAAGATCAACGACTTTGAATGCACAGAGCTTAATAGAGAACCGAATCAAACCCTAGAATAGAGAAGTGGTTCGTTCTCTCTATACAGACGCCCAAATTGAATAAAATTTTAGACATAGATCTAAGACATTAACAGAATTAATGGGGAGTTATTTTTACGGTTTGAAAAGTGCCTAAATTGATCTAAGTGTGCTAACCTAGGGTTTGGGTTTTACCTCAATCCAATAGATGGATTTAGTAGATCTTGAATTTTCTGAGCTTGTAGATTGTCCACGAATAAGGTTGTAGAAGGCCCCTCGAGCTCCCAACATCTGGATCAAGCGCAAATGGCTTTAGAAAGTTCTTAGGCTCGGTTTCACCGAAAGATTGTCGCCGGCGGTGTCACAACGGCGGATTTAGCTTAGGGCACGTGGGGGTAAGGTATGGGAACTCTCACAACAAATCTCTCAGGCTTAGGAGGGTTATAGAGCGAAAGAGCGAAAAAGATCCCTAAAGAACCCTAATTTCTTCTATTTAATGCCCTTGACTCATGATCAAAGACCTAGATCTATCCTAGGGCTAATTAGGAGGGAAAATAAAGTGATTTGCCCATTGTTTGAGTGCATAACTAAATAGGAAAGGTTTAAATGGATTAAATGCCATTAATTTGACCTAAATATGTCAAATTTGACCAAGGGGGACTTGGGTTGACCAAGTCACTTGTTGACCTGGTTAACCTAGTCAAGTAATCCCAAAGGGGTGGGAGTTTGAGCCCAAGATGGCTTGGGATTGATTTGAAATTGATTTGGGCTCATTAGGGCTAATTGGGTCAACCTAGGTTGACCTGGTCAACTAGGTTGACCCAAGGCATGGATTTGGGCCCAACAAGTCAAGTTTGACCCACTAAGTCCAAGGGAGGTAAGATCGAGCCAAGAAGAATTGGAATGGATTTGAAATCAAATAAAGGAGATTTTGGTCAATTAGGGTCAGCCTGGGTTGACCTGGTCAACCAAGTTGACCCAGGGCCTGGGTTTGGGCTCATTAGACTTGGTTTGACCCACTAAACTGAATAGGAGGGGTCTTGGGGTCTAGCTTGATTTCACCAAGGGTTTGGGTGAAATCAAGCTTAACATTGATGTCGGACCTCCATCGCCTTCTGACTTCGATCCTCCCGACCTTCGTTGCTCGCCGACTACGGTCGTTCTGACCTCTGTCGCTAGACAATGGTCCTTCCAACCTCCATCGCCCGCCGACTACGGTCCTTCTAACCTATGTCGCTAAACAACAGTCCTTCCGACCTCCTTTGCCCGCCGACTACGATCATTCTGACCTCCGTCGCCAGACAACGGTCTTTATAACCTCCGTCGTCCGCCGATTACAGTTCTTACGACCAAACAAAAACACATCAACAATGATGCTTCCTATTTCCATCATGCAACACACTCTATATGATGTATATTTGTTACATCAAGCTAAGGCCTTCCCCCCAATGAAAGGCCTCATTTGTAATCAACTACAAATACTAGTGGATTCATTCAAATTGGGCTAGGCCTGTGGTTTTTCATCTTTTTAGGATTTTTCCACGTAAAAATTTTGGTGTCTCTTATGAATATTGCACCCTCACTTTTTATCTGATTGCATGTTAGATCTTCGTACATTGTTAAGAAGTTAAGCTTTATATTTCTCTACCACCCCGAATACTCCAGGATGCAACAACAAGAAAATATTTTTAAATCTGAAAATTTTAGTGAAATTCAAAATTCACACAAAATAATAGGAACATTGCTGTTACGTTTGAAATAACTTTATAAAATCTGAAAATTTTAGTGAAATTTCACACTAAATAATATAACTTTGTGGTTACGTTTCAACAACTTTATTTAATGTTCTGCTATTATTCTATTGCTGGACTATTTAGTGTTGTAGATCTCATGCATTTATTAATAGTGCATTAATTAATTAAATTAAATGGTAATTACATTTTTAATATTGAAATAAAGATTGCAACATTAAGAATGTAATTAAAATTTTTTTGTACGATAATTCTCATGCTCTTCTTTAATATTAATTAGATTAGACGTTAATATTACTGTGACAATAATAAAGATCTCTCGCTAAAAATTATAATAGGCGTTCATCTAGTAAAAAATAGGAGGGGTAATCAAAATGGGTTTTTGGGTCGGGTTTAGGTACAAACCGAAATTGACCCGTCTCCAATTGCTCTGACCCGAACCCAACCCGACTCGGCGAATAAGTAAGAAAGTCAGACTCAGACCTATCCCACCAAGTTTTTTGGTTGACCCGATCTGACCCGCTAACCCGCGGATGCGAGCATTCGCATCCACAGGGGTTAGGACGAATGCGGGCTAGGGGAGTGAGGAAGGCAAACGTGGGTGCAAGGTTGTGAATGTGAGTGCGGGAGAGGCAGGCAAGTGCAGGACCGCTAGTACGAGGTTGGGAGCTTGAGTGTCGAGGCAAGGTAGGCAAGCACGAGATAAGGGGGGCAAGCATGAGCCGCGAGTCAGGTTCATGGTGCAGTGCGGGATGGGAACCTGTGCCAGTTCTGTGTTGATTTCGAATTTCAGGGTTGAACCGAATCCGACCCGAATTTCTATTCGAGTCAGGATTTGAAACTCGAACCTGGCTCGTTTCCCAAACGAGTTGATCCCAACCCAAAAATTTTGAGTCGAATTCAGATCAAATTTTCATGTCATATGAAATATTGACACCAAAAAAATTACCTTGATCGGGCATGAATCTCGATGCAAATACAAATAAAAATTTTCTAACATTAAATTAGGGATTATCTAAACTCTGATTTCAACAAACATACTGTCAAACTAAACATTTTAAGGAGATGAACCCAATGACACCAAATTCATTTTGATTTGAGCCCAAATGAGATCAAATCAAATGAACAAAACATACTTAAAAGCTTTGGAGCATCAATTAGAGGATCAAATGGTATTCGAATATGACTTGCTTATAATCAAATCGAACAGCTCGACAAGACAAATGCAACACCCCCGATATCACTCAATTCTGGCATCATTAAGGCACTTAAATACTCAATAAACACTCTATGATCAAGGGAATTACTATGAGCTGTCTGGTAGAACACTCTAAATCTACTCTAGATCTTCTCCATATTTACTAGACTTGTCACTCCCAAAATATTATAAATAGCCCCTCATTCTTCACATGAGGGGGGAGGAGAAAAAGAGAAAACTTGAGAGCTCTCTTGCTCCCTTCATCTAGATCAACCACCACCAGAGTTCTTGCCAACTACGGCCACTCCAACCACCGCTTCCTATCAACTATGATTCCTCTAACCACCGTTGCTCGCCAACTATGGTCCCTCCAACCACCCTAGCCCTCCGACTATAGTCCCTTCGACCACTGTCGCTAGTCGACTACGGCCCCTCCAACCACCATCACTCGCCGATTACAACCCTCTTACCACCGTTGTCAACCGACTACAGTCCCTTCGACGACATTCGCCCACCAACTACGTCCACTATGATAATTGTCACTTGCTGACTACGATCCCTTTAACCACCATCACTCGCCGACTACAATCCTTCCGAACACCATCGCTTGTCGACTTTAATCTTACTGACCAAACAAATATGTCAACATTCTCTTAAGAGCAACTGTCATGTAATGCACTATATACAATGCATATTTGCTACATTAAGCCAATACCCTGCTCCAATGAGGGGTATTATTTGTAATCAACCATCAATACTAGTAGATTCATTTAAACTGGATCAGGCCCCATAATTTTTTCATTTTCAGGATTTTCCACATAAAAATCTTAGTGTCTCTTATGAATATTGCACCATACTCTTTTATCTGTTTGTCTATTGGATCTTCATACAAAATTAAAATGCTAAACTTTATATCTCTCTATCACTGCGAATATTTCAAGTCTGCAACAATCTTCTTCCACACCTACGAGGCCTGGTATGGTGCATAAAGATGTGTCCTCCAAGGTTGGTAGGCTAAGCTTGAAGATATTCAACCTAGATTCTACATGATGGCTATTTTCTATAGGTAATCATGGCGATCATGAAGGAGTTAAGGTGAATAATTAAGGATCAACAATTAGAGATATAAGAACTAAAAGCTTTAAGTCAAGAAATGTGATTGAGTGTTGAGCACCATGGAATCATCCATCCAATAAGCATGCACTCCATATTTCCATTTTCACAAACTAGTTTTGTAAGAGATGGATAGGTTGACGCCTTTCAAATACCCTTTGTTGTCTAATATATATCTGCAAAATTCCATACCAATCAAATATAAATTATAAGGTAGTCATTTATATCAATATTTGAGAGCTCATGTCCCATGTGTAGCAGCAGCACTAAGGGTTGGGTGGTTTTTTTATGGGAAATCATGAAGATCATGTGTCACGCACACCCTTAAATGAAATTGGGTTGCGGCTACAATACACTAAGGTTTTGTTTGAAATGGCTTTCTTACTGCTTCTTAAAACATCTTTTAGTATTAAGATTTTAATTTTTGAACTAAAAAACTGCTTTAAGAAGCAATAAGAAAACCGTCCCAAACGAAGCATAAGGCTAGACAATAATCACATACTCCTAAACATTAAAGCACCCTTTTGTAAGCTACCATTGAAGGGGTGGAGCTCAAGATTCCTTTGATCATAAGAAGGGGACACCTGCAACATCAAGTCTTATCAAAAGAGGCCATGGTTACGATTGCTTTCCGCGTTAAGAATATTCAACACGAGATGACCCTAGCAATTATTGAATAAGGTTTCATTTGGAACAACTTTTTTATTGTTTTTTAAAGCAATTTTTTAGTACAAAACTTTCAAGTGCAAGAAATTTTTTACTAAAAAACTACTTTAAAAAACAATAAGAAATTTGTCTCAAACAAAGCCTAAAGCTTCATTTATAACAACTTTTTTTCTGCTTCTTAAAGCAATTTTTTAGTACAAAAATTTTATTTTGTGTGCTAGAAAGCTGCTTTAAAAAGCAGAAAGAAAGTTGTCCCAAACAAAATTTAAGACTTCATTATCTTAATTGTACTCATGCCTTTATTGAAAAGCTGGCTTTCTACCTTAAAATGAGCAAGGAGGTTAGGAGTAGAATCCTAACTTCGATTATTAGTGTGAGCCATCAAAGCGTGGGCACTGGTTATAAATTTCTGATCACAGTCGGCTTTCTGAACATTTTATTCATCAATAAAACGAATAGTATCCAATACTATATAAATTCGTTAGGTTGATACAACCTGAAGAAATTGCAATAATCAAGTCTCTGACTGTCAAAATCAAATGAAGTAATTGCTAAAATCAAAACTTTCTAAAGTCTGATTGTGAGAAAAAATTCATTTGGTTTGATCAAGTTGTGAAGAGCTGGATGCATTTGATTGGGTGGGCTGCACAACACCTGAATCTTTGGATTCTGAACGTTCGATTGCCGCTGTTCTCTGTAGCATAGACTGTTCATGCATGGCTTTCATCATCTCTTTCATTTGGTTTTCCTCTTTCTCAAGTTGCAAATTCATGATGATCTCAGCGTTTTTGTCTATGGGCTTGAAGTACTCCTCGATTGCAGCTTCCTTCAAAAAGAGTGTGTCTCAAAAATCCTTTCTTAAATAAAAAATCATACAAAATATAATTTTGAGAGTTTGATATTATGATAGTTGTGGGAGCTGTAAAGGATGGTACGGACATTACATCTCCTCACAAGTTTGAGCATTAGTTTTTGAAATCTCCTTAGTAATGTTTAATGCCCTTACACCGTCGATTGCTCTAAATCCCTATTTGATCAACTACAAATTTTAGCATAAATCACAAGGTAATAGAATAACACCATCAAGTCTTTATCCCACTACATGGGGTCGGTTACCTGAATCTTTTTTCTCTATTATGTCCTATTAAGAGTCAAATTCTCATTTAAATTTAATAAAAAAGATCATTTCTAATACTTTCTAACCAAATCTTTATAGGCTTACCTCTACCTCTCTAAACATAGGCAGTATATAATACATCTACTCTCATAATTGATTCATCGGAAGGCCAACATTTTATCTGACCAAGCCATCTTATCTATGACAGGAGTTACTCCAACCTTTTCACGTATATAAGCGTTTCATATTATGTCTTTAAGTGTCAAGACATTCATCCACCAATCATTCTCAACTCTGCAACACTTAATTTTATGATTCACTTTTAATGACCAACATTCTGCGCCATAAATTATTGCAGTTCTCACCACCATCTTATGAAATTTTTCCTTAAGTTTGAGGGGTACTTTTCTATCACAAAAAAGGCCTTATGCATTCTCCACTTCAACCATCCAACTTGATTTCTACTAATAATATCTCTATCTATTTCATCATCGCTTTGAAGTTTGAACAAAAGGCCCGAGATATCCAAAACGTACACTATTTTTAATGACTTGGTCACCCAATGTCGCAATCCCACCACTAGATCTATTACTACAAATATTATACCCCATGTATTCGATTTTAGATCTACTCAAAAAAAAAAACTTCAAGAATCTAAAGATTGACCTCCATAATTCAAGTTTTCCTTTAACTCCCGCTCTAGTTTTATCAACAAGAATATCATCAGCAAAAAGCATACACCATGATACATCCACTTGTAAATGTCTAGTAAGAACATCCATAACTAAAGCAAAAAAATATGGGCTTAAAGTTGATCCTTCATGTAATCCAATTGAAATAAGAAAATACTTGATCAAACCATCTTGTGTTTGAACACAAGTAACAGCTATTGTATACAAATCCTTAATGACTTGAATATAAACATTATCAATTCATTTCTTTTCTAGAACTCTCCAGAGCATGTCACCTGAAACTTTATCATATGATTTCTTTAAATCAATAAATCACTTATCCATTCATCTTTACATCTTTTGTCTTCAAAATAATATTAAAATTTTTAGTAAGCCAAGAAATTCCTTAAAATTCTAAACATTTCCACACCTATATTGGAATATCATTAAGTCTTACTATTTTTCCACACTTCCTTTTCTTTAAAAGCTCTATAATTTCAATTTTACTAATACATCGATAAAAAAAATCTATATTTTTATTTAGGGTGCTAAGACCAAGAAGTCAAATGTATTCTCACAATCTTCATTAAAAACTTATCGAAATATCTCATCCCTTCATCTTAAACTCCAAAACTAATAAGCGAAGCTGAGTACATAAAAGGGGCAAAAATGAGCCCACTTGGTTCAACCAAATCAATGCTTATAGAAGTCAAGAATTAACTCCTATATAATATCTTGAGCCTCATATCAAAATGATTGATACTTGGATCAATGGAATTAAGGTAAAACTGGCCAGGAATTCGTTGGACCAAGATGAACAAAGTTTAGTCAGGCCAGTCATCACCTTCACAAAGGTTATATATAAACAGAGTTGAGAGGCTTCTCAGGGTGCTGATGCACATCCTCGTTATTTGTTCAATTGCCAAGGGTTGGTCTCTCTCTCTCTCTACTCTCTCTCTCTCTCTCTCTCTCTCTCCCCCTTTCTTCTTTTCAAAAATGGTTGTCAGCAGCCTTCGCAAACACCCTCACACTCGTTATTGCACGAGTTCCTGTAAGCACAAATCTTCTCCAAGTTACTATACCTCCTAGATTTCATTTTCAAAGTCATCTTCACATAAATGCTCTTCTCGAAGAGAGGAGTTAATTCACTAAAAATGCCCTAGCATTGATGCTTATTTCTACTTAGATCTATTAGAAAGGCAATAAGCCTTCCTAGAATTTCAACCAAACGGTAGCGACATTATAAAAAATGAGGTATTTATAGATCGTTGATAGAAGAATTCACCCATGGTGATCACAACCAGGGCCCCACAGAAGACAAATTTTTGTTCCCTCATCCTTAAGAGGTGTGCCAACTCACAAAAACAAAAAGTCAAACAATTTTTCCCTCAAGCCACCAAGTCTTTCTTCTTACCCTTCCTAAATGTTTTCACGTAAGCAGTTTTTTCACTGTAGAGTACTTCAAAGCTTTTTCCACTTATATGCACTTCTAAATAAAGGTTTTCTCAAAACTCAACGAATCCTCCCAAACTTTTCTCTCAGCCCTAACAATATTCTACCCAGCTTTTTCTGTTTTAAAGAGCGTTCATTACACCCCTGACAAGATAGCACTTTTACTGTTTACAACTAAACTCGTAGAATTTCACCCCATTGGAGGTATCCAACCGCCCAAACAAGATCTACCCATCGCATGCTTGCCAAATTGTCTCCTACCATCAATCCCAATGACATAATCTTTCATTCTCATCAACAATAGTTGAAGACTCTAGTGCTTATTTTTGAAGCTTGAAGTGAGGAAGGACACAAGCAAAAGCACATAGAAGGATTTGTTGGGACAATCCAAGAATAAAAGGAAGAGCACTACTTCAGAGAAAACATGGGATTCATTTAGTTGATCTTCCCTTACCAAAAATGTCGAAGGCTCTCAACTAAGCACGCACTTTTTGATGATATCTTCCAATGTCCACTAGTTGGCATGGCCTAAATCTAAGATACAGATGGTTCGTCAAGGAAGGATTCTCAAGATATGACATCTATAGCCTAAATCTGAAAGGTTCAAGAAGAACACTCAAACACTGCTAAGTGGCTAACCACTAAAAAGATGCCAAAATTCCCTTGATCACCAAGGTACTAAGGCTCTAGTGCCCACAATTGATTGTCTAATTTTCTCATAGACTATAACAAATCACCAGATCATTATCAAATCAATATCTTGCTTCATCATTGAAACAGTTAATCATCTTGATTCTTCGTATCCAGTACATGATTTCTTCATATAGATCATACTTGAATTGGTTTGCGATTGCAATATCAAAATTCAAACCCTCACTACAGTAGCATGCTCAATTTATTTTAGAAGAAAATTGGAACCGCCAAATAGTCTCCAAGGAAGGGTAGTTTCTTATGTTTTTAAAACAGATTAAAAAAATAACAAAACAGCCTTTAGACATTAGAATGTCATGCATTTGATTAAGGATAAACAAATAAATTTTCAGAGTAGCATAAAAAGGTGCTCACTGTTTCTTCTAGCCGCCGATTCAGGCCTTGCATCTCCTCAACCATGCGACGGACTTCTGCAAGTATGGCTTGCTCAGGAAGTCTTTTCAATTCAGTCTTTCTTGCTTGAGCCTTAACCAGTTGAAAAGAGAAAGTTGTAGAGAAGGCAGATAAATAAGAAAATCAAAATACACGTAAATAAACAGTTTATGACAATGTGATCATGCATGCAGAATGATAAGAAAAGAGTCATAAATCTATTAAGGAATTCCTCGTCTAAATTCTTACAAAAAATTGCTTATCATCATCCTTAGTACAATACAATTTGGCAATATTTAACATAAGTATCTATCGTAAGATGTCAATGTAAAAGTAAAGTGTGAATAGGAATTCCTTATAAAAATTTCTATAAATAGTTCTTATAGAATTTATGTTGGCAAAATCCATAATAACCAAAAAGATGGCTTGCATTTATAAAAGGATAGTTGAGTAAAATTTTTTTTGTATTTATTTATTTTCCAACGTGTATACGTGTTTTTCCTTCTAATTCATTGTAACAAAGATGCATCAAATTTTCTAGCTCTGTTTTCATCATTACCGATCTTATAACCAATATTTGCTGCAAATGATAATGATATAAACCTGATCAGTTAAGAATTTCATCCTTATTATATATAAGAAACACAATAAAATTGCATTAAACAAAGAAAATAAAATTTGCACAGAGAAAAAAAGGAGAGCTCAGGTTGCTGCTTAGGAATCAAGAAGAAAAACGTGGGAGAAGATGTGTGTGTGCAAACTCTCTGTATTTACAGTTCTCAATGAAGAATTTTCAGCCCTCATCAAGCATTTTCAGCTAACGCCAAAAGTAACACACCACTCAACAAACCCAAGAAATGAAGGGATGCACCCTTTCTTTGAAATGAAGGGACAGATTTTTTAAAATAAAGAATTTTGTTAGATTTCTTAGATTTTTATTTTAATGAAGTATTTGATACATAAAATATATTTATGATTTTTAATATTACTATTATTTTTAAAATATAAGCATCCAAACTCCCCACAAACTTCCCATCACGTATGGTAGACTTTAATCCTCTCTCCCATTACTTCAACCAAAGTGCAGGACTCAGGTATGAGTTCATGGCGCATAAAATAAGATCAACATATATATATATATAAAGTTCATTTTACTCAAATATCTTATTATTAAAAAATCACATAAATTTCAACGACCATGAAAAACAATGTGTTAGTTTTATAAATCTAGTAGGACATTATAATTTGTAAAATCAAACTTCTTTTCATAAAATCAAAGCCATTAATGAAAAAATTGTTCATGCATGTTGCAATCATCAACTGAGCATGTTGTTTGTGTTCGTCCAAGATTATTCAGCTCATTTGAATTCAATCCGTTTGTAAATGAACCAAAATGAAATAAATTCCTAGTTTGCCCTTGTTCATCTCATTTATATCTCTATTATATTTGATGCCCACTTCCTATAGCTTTTGCGACACCTATGACTACTTTGCTATCCACCTTTTCCTTGTGAACTTTTTACATAGGTGTTACTAGTGACTTCCAATTTTTGTGATCGAGCCCTCTGTCTTCAATGATTTTCTATCAGGTTGGACAAAGTCTTCTACAATTCTCTAAATACACCAACCCCTTGTGGCTTCTACACCGCTTATTCCGTTCAATCGTCACTATTTTCAAATTAGTCCTTACGTGGGATCATTTAGGCCTCTAAATAATCAAGAAACTAAAACATGATTTTTAAATAGTCAGGGACTATTGTGATCCGTCATAAAGAATCAGTCAACCATTTTGATTCTTATCTCTATAAAACTCAATCAATTTTGATTCAAAAAAGTTGCCTAATTGGACATGATATTCCTTCTATTTTTAATAGTGGACTCTTAATTAAGTAAGAGATTTGAAGATTATAAGAAAACTAGAAAACATATCGCCATGTGTAAGAGTGAGGCTTGGCTCAAGGACTTGGTAACTTTTTCTTTAGACTTTAATTCTTAGTTCACACTATGTTATTGATTGATTGTGTAATTGATCTTATTCAAGTTCGATTCAATAGGATTTCAACAATGCGGATTTCAATTCAGTTGGTTTTCTTGATTATGAATTTTCAAGCGTTGTTTGTGGTTGAAAAGACAATTGAATTATCGTCTAAATTCAATCTCACTATATTACAGTATTCAATGAATGTAATGAGTAGTTATAAAAATTAAAAGTTTGTGAGCTGCAAAAATGTATACATATGTTCCATGATTTTTTGCATTTCATAATAGATTAAAAAATATAAACCAAAGATCCTAAAACGCCCTACATCAAAAATTGGTTAGCCTGACAATTTTTTCTCTATCGGGTGTCTTCACACACAAAAAAAAGATTCATACAAAAGTTCAATAAAGCAGTATTGGGAGCCCTAATTGCAACGGTGTGGAACCTCAATTACAGCATAATTTAGAAAATTTGAGAAAATAATAATATTTTTTTTTCTACAGAACAAAGATGAAAAATGAAGATGAACCTTTTCAATGCGTCTTTGAAGGTCCAGCCTGTAGGACCTAATTCTTCTTTCCTCATATCCAGAAATAACTCTAACAATAAACCAAGCTCTTCTACCAAATTCCAACAGCTTATCCATCCTTCAAAGCAATTTAAAGGTGGTTTTCTGCATGGAAAGAATAATCTAGTCATTTTGTGTATTGTCCACAAACAATAAAAAGCCTTCACAAATCAAAAAGCAAGAACATCTAGACAATTCAACATAGGATGGTTAACCGATTAGGGATTCTCAACACAAAAGCAATGACTGTGGAAATCAAAGAAAGCCAAACCACAAGAACTTTCATCAGTACTAATCCTTTAACTTGAATAAACAAGCAAATAAGTATACCTTTGACATCATACTAACAGAAAAAGATAAACGAGACCAACATTGCTAAATTGGATTTTGTTTGCTATTTGAGAGAAAAAAAAAATTGTACAAATATTCAAAAACAAAAGGGATACTCAAGGTTGTTTGCAAGAAAATCAATCTAATGAGTCATATAATGAATTTAAGATAAAGTGTGTGGAACATGCATTTAAAAAATTTATAATGGTAGAATCAATTTTATTTTATGCCACAAAACTCACTAAGGAGGCACTTTTTTGCTAGGAAAATAAATGGAAAAATATAACAAGGAAAGGATCTACATATTATTTTTATTGATATTTAAATGCATGATCGTGCACCATGAAAATTAATTTAGTGGTTATCATAGAAAAAATTTGTGCCAAAAGTATATTAAAGTTGTAAAAGATACATATGATAAAGCATTACTAATATTAGAAGCAACTGTGAACTGATCACGGAGTTCCCAATCTCAGCTAGATTGCATGGCATACAATTTTAAAAGGTTTGATGTTAAAAAGTATCAGCGAATATTATTAAAATGAAGTGATCTATATGTTTGATTATTTTAATTTTTTTGGATCTATCATGCATAAAATGAGAACTTATATAAGGATATAACTTTTAAAATTACAGTTATACTTTTAGAAAAAAAGAAGTGCCTCATAAATATCATACGATAAGAAAATATCATGAAGATTTAAGATAAACTTTATAGAACTGCAATTAAGTTGAGTCTATTGATTTGCTTTTCCAGAAAGGAAGTTATTGAGCATCAAGTTGAGCTTAAGCAAAAATTAAAAAGCAAGATAAATGTGCAAAATAACTAAAATTGATAAATGATTATATTAAAGGGACGTTGATAAGAGCGTCTATTGAAGAAAAGTATTAAATAAAATATTGAGGAGGTTTGCATATCTACAATGAAGGATAAAAGATGCACACTATGATTGGTAGTCAAAAGTAATATCAAAAAATTAAAAAAGATATAGATCAAAGATAACATGGATAGGAGTTGACCAAAAATAATTACGTGAAATAATTTTAAATCCCTTTTATTACCCAAAAGGAACAAATAAAAAATGAGTTCAAATCCTAATTTTAAATCCCTTTTATTACCCAAAAGGAACAAATAAAAAATGAGTTCAAATCACAACATATGGAAATCATCACTAAATGACTTTCTTTTCCCTCTCATACATCCTAAAGGAAGAAGAAAAAGTAGTGCTTAACCCGTCTAGTCCCCAAAACATCAGTCATGAAAAACACTAAACCCCGAGGTCAGTGCCTTAATAGTCGATTTCCTTCAACAAGGATTAAAGGCTTCTTCAAAAGACATATATGTTGCAACTATGCAAGAAAAAGAAAAATTCAAAGAATAATGCTGTAAACTCCACGGAAAGTCCTCAAGCTATACTAGAAATAAAGAATTTTACCAAAAGGATAGACTTATCTTCTAGAATAAGAAGGGCTCAACCCAAAAATTGGCAAACTCAAAAAATTTCTTACCTCTTTCGAAAAATCATCTGGATCATGTTGTCTAGCTCAATATGGTAATGACTTCAAACTCTTGTATTTTTAGTAACTTAAATGATTCTCCTAGGACCTAAATCCTACATCAGAAGCCACTAACCACATGACTAATATTGCCAATATTTTTCAAACCTACAAGCCCTACGTTATTAATAAAAAAATAAAAGTGGCTGATAGTTCTCTAACAACTGCTGCATGTCAAGAAAATATTTCAATTTATTCACATTTACCCTCAATATGTAATGCATGTTCCTCCTATTTGTAGTAAATCTCCTCTCAATCCATAAAATCACAATTGCAATGTAATCTTTTTTCCTAATCATTGGGTATTTTAGGAGCTCATTATGGGGAAGAAAATTGGACATAGAGAAAAATATGTGCAATATTTTCTTAAAAACGAAAATCATATATAATGTTTCTTCATTTCCACCGTCAATATAGAAGTAATTTGAGAACATCTTTATATCTTAAGGCATCCACTTTCAAAATATTACAATATATATATTTTTGTCTCTTTTTTTAATGTAAACATGAAAAATTATCATTGTGAGACTCGTGAAATCGCCAAACATCAACATATTGTTTTTCTCTTAAAGTGATTCTAGATTTGTCTACTCCTTTTCTAATTATACACTTTAACATTTGAAGACCTTATGAAATCCTCAACATTTTTGGATTCACTCTAACATTTTTGAAAGTGATTCAATTTTTGTCACTTTAATAAATTTTATTTTTTCCTTAATAACCTTTTATACCTACTCACACCATCAAAGTTTACTTATTAAATCAAAATCCATTTTCATACTCTCCTAAAACTTCTTAGGCCAATCTTCTTAAAGAAACAAGACGTTTTATTTCACATTAGATTTGAGTTAACTAAATAACTGCAATTTATTTCCCGCAGCAACTTGTCTTAAATGATTAATAATTTATCATCCCCCGAATTCAACTAACTCATCCTAAGACAATCATTTCATTTAATTGTTTTCTTTATGATGATAAAATATACAAACAGAATTAATACTCTATGTTGTGCAATCAAAATCTCCCAAAATCATCTTATAATCATTGCAATAAGACTTTTTCTTTCTTTTATGTAAAAAAAACCTTTGTTTGTGATATGATGGCTCATTTATTATAAATGTTCTTTTGTTTTCTTAAAAATTTGTTTTCTTAAAAAACTTTTCTTAAGCAACAAAGAAATCAAGTATAGCTCTCTCATTGCATTACAATCTCCTATTTCATACCCAGCTGGAATCCTCTCATAACCCATCCTATTAGAACCTATATACCCATTTAAGTCACATTCAATAAATATCTTTTCTTCCTCAGAAACACACTATATTATACCATTCTTCTATTCGTAAAGTTTTTTTTTTTTATTTATCCTCTAATTCAAGTTGAGGAGCATAAGCACCAACCACATTTATAATGTGCTCATCGATAATTTTCTTAATATAAAACACTTTTTAACTAACCCAGTGCACCTTAATAATTTTTTACTTTCCAGACTCAATCTACTATCTCAATTACACTCATATTGTTAATATTTTCAACATACGATAATTTATAGCACTCATCAATGTCTTTAAATCATTCTCCATTCCATTTGATTTCAAAACCATTGAAATAATCATGTACTAAAGTAATACCAAATATGTTTCAATTTTCATGGGCAATCTTGCATGTTCAAACACTTACTAAAGAGATGTTAAGTTTAGTAACAAGCCGACTAAGTAAATATTACCAACTTAAGAAAACTAATGTCGCCTAACTTAAACTCTAATCCAAGTAACTTTTCTTATCCATTTTACTAAAATGGCAATCACATAATCTATAACAAATTTCTATAATACCCAACCTATTTCAACATAATCAGCATACAATTTCTTGTTTCATGAATACATATGAATTAAAAAACTACACATCATGAGCAGTCCTTCCCAAGCTTTGAGAAGGAAATATGATTAAAGATAAAATTTAGGGCATTATCACCTATCTTGCTCGGCCGCCCCTCGTACCAGCCCATACCGATAAAAATTCAACAACCGTACCTCGCCCTTGTTGTGATTCACTCGACCTTGCTCGCAATCGCCTCTCTCTCTCTCTCTCTTCTTGTTTTCTCAGCTCTACCACTAGAGCCCCGTCTCAGACACTCTTTGTTTATTTACGTTCTCGCGCTAATTGTATCCCTCACCTGCAAGCGATCATAATTGCGAGGGCTCACTAGTACGCGATTTACAATCGAATCGCAATCCAGGAGGAAGTAGCGGGGCGGGCCAGTAGACCCAACTCGGCAACTACCCTTCTTTAAACCATCCTTTTATAACATAATTTTATATCGCATCTGATATGTATTTTATTTACCCAAAAATATATATGTATTTTATGAATAATAAATTTGCATGTATACATATTATGTAGGTGTATATTGATTTAATTCATATAAAATTTAAAATTTTTTATCAATATTTACAGTTTATTTGTTATTTATGAATTAAACCATTATATACCTAAATAATATGTACACATGCAAAGTTATTATTCATAAAATAGGCTAAACTGTTGTACCTCTAACAATTGTGTGCCTTTTATGTAAAATATCCTAAAGTATTGCTTGTTTTTAAAGTAATCAAACATAAAAGATACTCATAATCTTCAAATTGCTTAAAATAGCATATCTTGATAACAATGTTCCATATCTTCAGATAGATGCAAGTTATCATTCAATTCTTTTTTTTTTTTTTTTTTTTTTTGAATTTTTTTTTTTTTTTTTTTTTTGATATTATAACAATAGAAAAGCATTTCTACGCACAAAGCATCCTCTACAATATTCATGTTATAGTTAAAAATAGTACTGTAAAAAGCATCCTCTACAAGCTGCAAATGTTTGTAATTCACCTACTTAACAATTAGTCATAATTTCTAAAAATATGACTTAAAAAATACTCATAATTTCCGAAAATATGACTTCAACATTACATTTAAGTTCTTTATGAAGAAATTTAACAAACATTAACAAACACATGCTATATATGAAGCAATCTAAAACACATTGCAGCTCCAACTTCCAACATAAGGTAGTTGGCCATCCCGCAGCTCCTGGTTCCCGCACAAGATGGCAAAATCAGCTAAATATAATAAAAATTTTAACACAATAAATAAATGTGGTACTTTTAAAAGTAAATACATTCATTTCGTAAGCAACTAACCTCTTTATCTTGAACATTCATAATTTTTTTTTCAATATTTCTCTATCCCAAAGATCAACCTGCAGAAAGGAAAAAATTATTGTGAAATTTTTTTAAAGCATGATACAATAAGCAGTTGTCTATACAATAAAAGTGAAGAATATTCACAAAAATTAAAAGTAGCATACTCTGAAAATACTCAGAACCAAAGCAACAAATATGCATTAAAGCAGCTTAATCAAACAAATTAGAAATTGGATATTTTTGCTTTCTGTTGGTTTTGGGAGCCTTGGCAGAAATTGAATAGTTTTTGGTGAAACTTGAGCGTTTCACCCATACACTCGTTTTTTTAACAAAATTTTGCAAACAACTTTTTAGTAGTTGCCAAAGTTTGATAAGAATTCTAACATTAAGGTCCCATTACATTTCATGTGTATTTTAATCTGAAACCCAACTAGAAAATCTTCTTTGTTTCATACTTTAAAGTTTTTGCAACAATACAAATTATTTTGATACAGCTTTTGTTAAGACTGAAAATCCAAATGTTATAGAATCTTTTTAAGACTTTTTACTTAGGGTTTTGCAAATTTTGAAAATCAAAGCAAAAATTTTGATTAAGAGGTCTAGTAGAAATAAAGTTTTATGGAATATGTCCAAAGCAGCAGATATAATCTGTCGTAGAAAATAGGGCATAGATATCAGTGAGAATAGCTGCACAGAAATGGACGAATATCATACCGCGATCGAGCGAACGAACATGCTGCCGGCAAAGGTGACTAAACTGCACACGCGAACGAACGGCAGCGGAACTACACTGGCCTTGTCGTCGAGTTCGCCAATCTGGAGCTCTAGCGGGGAGACGAACGACCGAACGACAGAGAAAAGCAATGTGCTCTTTAGGTTTTATCCTAAGTTTTTTTGGCTTGCCGTTTGATCTACCATCAAAGACTCCAATCCTCCGTTTTTTTAACCGGCCGATTCGAACCGACGCCGGTTCTATGGTCCGGCGGTCTGACGGGCCGGGCTCCTTGTTTTTTTCCGGTTCACTTCAAAATCAGTTCTATGGGTTAACGGGCGTTCGACTGGTTCATAGTTTAATTGGTTGAACCTACTAATCTGATTCTATTTTCAAAACATTAATATTACATACATACCATTTTATCTCAAGCTAATTTTCATTTACTAAATGGGGAGGGGGAGGGATAAAGGCTTGATGTCGTAGTTATTGTTGTAAAGAAATGAAATATATGAGTGGTAGGAAAGAAATGTAAGTGGTATATTTGATATTAAAATAATATATGGTGGTATTCATGTAATATTAAAGTTTTAGGTGTTAGATATGTAAATAAGATATTATAAAGTGGTATGTATGTAAATTTCCCAAAATTGAAATAATACATATCCGCCACTTATAGGCTAAACTGTTCTTCACTCTAACAATTGTGTGCCTTTTATTTTTCTTCATGATAGATTAGTTTGATATTTTCTTTTATTGATGATATGCTATGTTTTTTTTTTCTAAAATTAAGTTAAGGTAACATAAGCATGTTTATGTACAAGTGTTCACAGATTGTGCTACTTTGGTTAGTTTGTTGCCCAAATTTATTATTTTATCCCTTCCAAAAACAAGTATGTGGTTTATATTTTATGACAAGAAATGATTTGATGCCAACTTTCAAGCAAATTTGGCTCTATTTTAGTGTTTTAGCTTGGCTAATGCTTCATTTGGGACAGCTTTCGTACTGCTTTTTACATCAACTTTCTAGTACAAAAATATATCGAAAGTAATGAAAAGTAATTGTCAAAAGCTTTTCCAAAAGAAGTGTAAGTTTAGTATCATAAAACTCAGTTTTTCTTTAATAGTTTATTAATTAAATAATTTATTAAGCATAATTTTTAGCTATTTTAAAGTAATTCTTTTTTAAATAAAAAAGAGATGATGTTGCAAATTTGAATCAAAGTATTGTGATTTTAATGATAACAAATATTATTATTTTTTTACTACTACTATTATTGTATATCTATTTTATTTGTCATGCTTACTAACATTTCAGATCCACAAGTTCACTTGCAATGCAAAATCAGCTCAAGATCGAGTAGACTAGGGTTGAGTATGTGTGTAATTTCAATTTCAATATACTTTTTATCTTTCTTGAGTCAAGTTATGTATCTAATAGACCACAAGCTAAGTAACATTACACACATACACTCAAGACGGTGAGTTTGTGAGTTTAGATAAAAATATATTTTAGAATTAATCGTACATTATAATGTAAATCGTATTGGATGATCAATTATAGAAAAAACCCTAATTAGGGCACCCTTTGTTAAGTAAGATTGTTTAACTAATCTAATGGCTTCTGATCATACAGGATGATCCGTTGTGGACATAAAAATAGCCGTCAATCACAATTTAGGTAATATTTTAATCTTCGAATTTTGTTCTAATCGTAAAAGATGATATACATCGTACTAGATGATTTATGACAATCATGCCTAAATTGATCATATAATTAGGGGACTAATTATGATTAGATTGCTCAATCAAATCATATAGGATGATCTACGGCGATCATATTGGACGATCTTTGATATTTCATGGGATAATTCCCCATCGTCTGATATGAAAATCATATTTTTCTTCTAATCATACAAGTGATCATACTGGACGTCCTGAGGGATGTACAGAACGATATGTAAATCATCGCTCATCGTTTCATATCGTATTGGATGATCAATACATTATCTTGAACTAATTGTCCCGGACGATCACATAATCGTACTGGATGATCTGTATAAGTACTTGAACTGATCGTACAGGAAAATGCTTATCGTACTAGCTGAAATGGCTATTTTGTACTAATCATATAAGACAATGTTGGATACTACTCAACAATCTTTAATGGCAAATTAAAAATTTGGGCTTCTTTTGGAAGCTCTTTATTTAATATATCATATTATATTTTGAGAGACATTTTGTTGTTGAGTTGTATTGAGAGAGAGCTTAGAGAAGGAAGAGGAAAGCTTTGAGAGAGAGTTTCTTGTGAGGGGGGTTATGAGGAATTCACAAAGGTTTTTCCAAGCAAAGTTTCCACCATCTTCTTCAAGCTTCTTCCTTAGTTCCTTGGTTGCTCTGGGGAGACTTTCATCAGCATCAGATTCAGGTTCTCTTCCTTCACCATGAGGGTGCAAAAGGATTCTAAGGTTCTCTGCCTACTACTGGAGGGAGTAAAAGAATTCTAAGGTTCTCTACCTACTCCAAGACGGAGTAAAATGATTTTTAGGTTCTCTAACTACTACAAGAGGGAGTAAAAGGATTCAAGGTACTCTACCTCATCAGATCGGTGCAAAAGATTTTGTAAGGACTTCTCTCCCTTGTTGTGGGGAAAAAAGAAGAGACAATACTTTTAGTATAATATCTAGAAAGGAGGTTTTCTGAGAGTGGACGTAGGTCAAGTTGACCGAACCACTATAATTATGGTGTGTTCTTTTTATTTAATTTTTTTGTATTTTTTGTGATTTATTTTGTGTTTGAAATATTTAATTTTAGTTATTGTGAAATCAGTTTTGATTATGTATTGTGGGATTAAATTCTTTATTCTAAAATATTTAAAAAGATTTTTAAAAAAAATTATATTTGGTTTATGAATTTTTTTTAAATAACTAATTCACCCCCCCCCCCCCTTTTGGTTAGCCTCGAGCTAGTTAATAAAGATTTAATAACCCTCACAAACTTTCATGTGGTATAAGAGCGGGGTTCTTAAATTAAATTTTTAAAAATTTTTGAAAAAAGATTTATGGCTAACTTTGGTGATCATAATACTATGGAAGAATATTAAATCACTCAACACCTTTGTTTGATAATATTCCTTTTGATTTTTGAAAAATTTACATGCCCACCTTTTTATAATCAACTGATTATCGTCTGTGGATATTAGTTCATAAAGGTTATTCTACACCTGCTCACTTTGTTAATGGCATAAAAACTGATATTCCCTTTTCGGAATGGAGCATAAAAATAGAGATTTAGCCCAACTTAATGCTAAATATTTGAACTATTTTTTTTCTGTGTTTTAAAATATGAAGATTACATGTGTATTTATACTTGTTCAACTGAAAATAAATTTGGAATAAACTATGCATACCATATGAGGGAACTAATAAAGTAAAATAATCTATGTTGAACATTTTGCTTCATGATAATGAACTATTTTGCATGAAACCTAGTGAATCAATTTCTAAAATATATACTAGGTTTACTCAAAATTTTACTTCCATGTATGCCTTAGGAAGAGAGCTTACAAATTATAAAAAAGTTAATCAAATTCTTTGTTATTTATCTTCTTCTTATGATGCAAAAATTATTTTCATTACTGGATCTAAAGATCTGAATGTTTATTACATTGATAACTTTCTTGGGACACTCATTACATACAAGCAAGGAGTGAGTCAAATGTAGCTTGATGCGGGTGAAAGAGAAAAGAGAAAACTATAACCTTAAAGACTAATGATTCTGATCGATAGTGACTCTTCTAGACAAGATGATGATGGTGATATTGCATTGATGACTAGGCAATTCAATAGCTTTTTAAAGAAAAAGTAAAAATGTCATCAACAATGGAATAAAGGTAAGATTGGTAAAAATTCTAAAATTTCTTCTTATGTAATATGCTTTGAATACATGAAGCTATATCACTTGAAGTCTGATTTCCCAACTCTTAAAACTCACCCAAGCAAGGAGAAGGGTGAAAAAAAATTTAAATTCAAGAAGGGTAAACAAAGGACTAAAAAGCTTTCTGGGCAGAATCAGCATCAAACTCTTCTAAAACTGAAACAAAATAGGAGGTAACCAACCTATGCTTAATGGAAGATGATCATCTTGATCACTTTGATCAAGAGGAGGTATGTGAGCTTACCTATGATTAATTATTTTAAGTTTTTAAAAAAATTCATATTGCATATAAGAAGCTTAAAAAATCACATGCTAGCCTTAAATTTGACTTTCAATTCTACAGAAAGAGCATGAATGTCTAAGGAAAGATCATTCCACTCTGGATAGTAATCGCATAGCTTTGTTAGGTAATTTTGATATTTTAAACAAGAAGTATTCTAAATTAATCAATAAGCATGATTCCTTAAAAGCATCCCATATTGATTTAGAAGATTCTTTTAAGAAAACAAAGGCATATTTAGATGAAGCTCAGGATAGAGAGCATATATTGAAAATTGAAAATTCAATTCTTAAAACTGTGAAGTAATTTTTACAAATCAAATTAAATGCTTTCAAAGAAAATAAAACATTACCTACACTTGCACAGCTACATAATCCATCAACACATCATGCATCATTCAAACCTAGGAAAATATATTATAACCCAAATAAATTAGTAAATCATTTTCCTAGTGTTAGATATTTTTCTTGTGGCATGTTAGGGCATATTTCTCACACATGCACCATTTATCGTAGAATACATTTAGTGTGGAGACCAAAATTTTAAAATTCACAGCATAGCATGCATGCATTTTATTCTTCTTTCCATAAGATGAGACTAAAACTTATTTAGGTTCCCAAATCTAGCATCTGATGATTTTGTATGTTTGCTCACATAAAAGGCCTTGTGAGAGTATGTAGTACTTGGACAGTGGATGTTCAAGGCATATGACTAGAGATGCAAATCAATTCATTTCATTGGAGACCAGGACATGAGGCAAGGAGACACTTGGAGATAATACCACCAGGAGAGTGGTGGGCTCATGTATAATTGGCAACTCAAAAAATTTCATCATTAAAAATATTTTACTAGTATATAGCTTAAAACATAACCTGCTTCATATAAGCTAGCTTTATGATAAAGGGTTTATCATTAATTTTTTGTCTACCAATTGCATGATTAGCTTAAAAGGAAACACTGTACTATATGAAAATAGCTTAATAATGTTTACC